CTCGCAGGAAGGTCTGCTGCAGCGGCCTCTCCCGCCTGCCTGCTTTAAACGCTGCCGCTTGTGTCTGGTGGGCTTTGGGGTCGCCTGCCTTCCCGTCTCTCTTTCAAGCGGCGGCCAGCGCAGCGTCGTTTCTGATCCGCAGGCTCCGATATCCACTCACTGCTCTTCAGGAGTAGCTCTTTTCTGATTTGTATGGGCTCCGGCGAGTTCCGCTTTCGTCAGGATCCCTCTACCCCCCCCCCCCCCGCACCCCCCAGTCCTGGGAGCCAGCTGGGCACGGGCGAGTTCATGGCAAAGTCACATTGCACGAGAAGGACACCCCAACCAGGAAATCATATGCGTAAGCCGGGGTGGGGGGTCGTGGAGCGAAGGGAAGTGTGGGGGTGGGATGGCAAACGCGCACACACATGCACGCACAAATCAGGAAAAAAGCGGCATCTTTTTACAGATGCAACTAATGCAGGAGGCAGCTTAGGCGGAAAACGGGGGTTGGGATGGGGAGGCGGAGGAGGAAAAGGAAAATCTTTCCATGCTGCAAGCTGATCTTCTGAGGAGTAGGGGGTTTCTTCGCGCGCAGCGGTGGAGGGGGGCTGGAGGTAGAAGCTAGAAATGGGCGTTAAAAAAGGTCGAACGGGCTCAGTCGCAGGGAAGTCGGCCGGAATAGAGTTGGGGACGCAGGAGCTTCTCTGCAACTTGTTGACTCCCACTTGCTGCCAAGGAAGCAGAGCTGGGCCCCTCGGACAACGCTGCGCCCCGAGTTGAAAGGTTATAAGGGCATTTACCAAGCGCGTCGGGGACTGACAGATGCGCGGTTCTTTCTGAGCGTTCTTACGCAGGCAGATCGATCAATAGAGCTGGTTGACCTGGCCAGGTGACATCTGTCTTCGGAGCAAAACAGTCGTTAACTCCCACGCATATCATGCTGTAGACATAGCTCTTTCCTTGCGACCTTTAGATTCATTCCCAGTTTTAAAAGAAAGGGAAAGCCCTCTGGCATTTCTCCTAGTTGCTTTCTTCAGACAAGCTATTTGAAAATAGGTTGTTGAGATAGTCGATTTCAAACACACTCCTGCAGGTGTGAATATATAGGCAGCTAGGGCAACGGGGAATGAAACAGGAAAGCGGAGGTGGGGGCAAACTGAGATGCTTTTCTGCAAGGCGACTGCTACAGGCCACAACTAGTGGCGATCTTCTCCACCCCTTGAACCAGGTCTCTCCCCCAAGCTTTCAGTCTCTGAGTCCCTTCTGGGAAATCCCACCCCAAAGTTGAGATCTCAGCCAGGCTTTGGACAAAAGCTGGTCAGTGGAGGAGCTGCTGGGTTTCAAGTTTCCAAAGTTGCCCCAACAGGTCATTTCTGTGTTTTCTTCCTGACCTATAAACCTGCTGATCTTCACCTGAACAGCCACTGTGCACAAGACTGTTACGGCCAAAGGACAGATACATCATTCAGTCTACCTGCTCATGGTAGACTGAATGATGTATAGAAAAGGGAGTGGATGTCAGGAAGGAAACCTTGAGTCAGGTCTCGAGATTTCTTTCCTAAAGTGCTTTTTTTGTTCATTCTGGCCTGACGGTACAATTCTTAAATATAAAAAAGCCTCAAATGCTTGTCCTTAGAAAAGGTTGTAGGAAAATTCTGAATGACTCCTTTCAGCATTGAACGGACAATATTTATTGTGCAAGTTTAACCAATTATACCTATATTTTTGAAGAAAGGAAACTTGGCAGTTTAATCCTATCAAAACCCATGCTGAAGTAATTCTCCTTGAATTCAGTGGAACTTACTCCTATACTAAGTGTGCATACCATTGCCCCCTTAACTGTTCTCTTTTTTTTAATAGATTTTTTTATCCCACCTTTATTATTTTTATAAATAACTCAAGGTGGCGAACATACCTAATACTCCTTCCTCCTCCTATTTTCCCCACAACAACAACTCTGTGAGGTGAGGTGGGCTGAGAGAGTATGACTGGCTCAAAGTCACCCAGCCAGCTTTCATGTGTAAGGCTGGACTAGAACTCACAGTCTCCAGGTTTGTAGCCTGGTGCCTTAACCACTAGACTAAACTGGCTCTCATAATTACATTACTGAAGGGGAAAATGTACTGATTTTATATTGAGAAGCATAAGAGTTAATTGGAGGCTTGCTCTGCCTCCCAAGTTAGATTTCAATAATATCAAAACATCATGGTATACAAAGACATTCACTTATAGAATCACATTTTTATATTAATTTATGAACCTATTTTTGTGTGTGCTGTTTATATACATTTATATATTATTTTTGTATGTATACGCTGTTGATCAGCATGGAACATTGTTGCAAACCTCTACTCATCAAATTTGGGAGCAAGTCTCATTGAATTCCATGGCACTGGCTTTCCATTTGTCTGAGTCAATAAAGTCAATTTAATTTGATTTATTTAATGTTAGAAATATTTAACACCCAAATAATAAATAGTGGAATCCTAATAGTGTGCATGCTTATTGGATTTCAGTAAAACCATTTCAGTAAAACTTAACTTTGCAATAGATATTACCTTAATTAAACTCTACAGAACGGACATGTTCAAGTATATGTTGTTGCTATTCATATATTTAAAAAGAGTTTCAGACTGGTGTAACCTAGTGATTACAGTTTTATTCAGAAAGACATTAAATATTTCTAATGAAATTTACTTTCAAGTTAGGATGCTTAGGACTGGAACAATGACAATATTGTGATTTTTTTTTACCTAATATTAGTAAAGTAGAAAAGAAGTGTGAAGGTTTTTTTTTCCTGTCTTGAAATGATCAGCATTTGACTCATACTTACATTCCCTCCTCAGATAGCATTTTAAAATCTAGAAACAAAATTCATAGGAAGTTCTAATGAGCAGAGTAACACATAACTTTCCTTTATATTTTGATGTAGTTATAAAACCCTTTGAATCGCCCTTTTGGCTAAATCTCTCAAGAAGTGCGTGAAACTTAAAACATGGTTGAAAACCACCTTATGTTTACAATGGACATGCTAAAAAATAACCTAACATTATTCTGCCAAAGTCAGTGGCAACACTCCACTGATTAGTACCGATTCTGGATCTATAAAGCTATCTATAAAGCTATAAAGCTATCTATAAAGATCCTGCATCTATCAAATTCAGGTCACTATCTCTTTGAAATTTCAGCTCCTCAAATCAAGTGTGTGTGAGAGAAAAAAACTTTCTTAGCTTCAGCTGTATTGCACTAGGAAGGATTCTGGCTCCTTAGCCTAACCAAATGGTTAGCTCCTGCGTACATTCAAAGGCATTAAAAAAAAAATCTTTGGGAATACAGCGAAAATCGCAGGGGGACGTGCTTCTGAATCAGGCGCAAAGGGAACAAATCTCTGTGACTTCCAGTCTCGAAGTCTTGGATTCCTTCCTTCATCCAAAGCGCTCTGGAGCCTGGGGGTAGGAATGCCCTCTGGCTCCTGTCGCGGCTCTGCCCCTGGGTCTGAAAGTGCCAGTGTCCGGCCCCAGCGGAAACCAAGCCGGGGCGCCTGCTGAGATTCTGAGTTGCTGCTCTTTTGAGCTCGGTGGTGTTTAGTTAGTTAGGGCCAGTTCTTTCCTTGACCACCCAGGCCGGCCGGGGCTGCTCCGCGCCCGTCCACCG